TTATTCACTGCTCGCAGCATACACGCTGTTTGATTGGCTAGCAGTTGTACTGGCAGATTTTCATAAACGGGATTTGATTGGCTGACGCTTCCATCGAAGCTTCAAAGGTTGAACATGGTTCAACTTTTGAAGCGAGCAACGCGTAGCTACGCTCCCCACAATGCAGTTCGGCGAAACGTGACGTCACCCCATTCAAAGTGAATGGGCAGAAGCGTTGAAGCTTCAACGCACGCCACCGTGTGGACAGGCCGTAACAGGTGTGCGTCATATGCGAGGCCCCGCCTTAAATGGAGCGCGATTTCCGCCAAATATTTGGAAATTGGTCCGTGCGCAAAGCATTGTGGGAAGTTTAAGACCGCGGAGTCTACACATGTGCAGCCTCGAAATTTCTCGCTACGAAGCACGCCGGCCTCGGTAGAATTCCAAGTATGCTGGACATTGGAACAGTCCTTCGGCGGCACTCGATGACGTAGCATGCTTGAAATAGTGGCTCTGGAGCAGCTTTACTCGACATTGAGACACACCCACGGTATTCATCCTGCTCTGTAAAACTGAGACTGTGCTTTTGTTGAGCGCAGATCCCCGGACGCTCCCCCCTCAGTCCTTTTCCCTCCCAACTCCTCACTTTTCTCTCCTCCCCACTCGTTTTAACTCCCACTCCTCCCTGTCTGGAGCTCTTCAGTTTGCCTCATCCCTCTCCCCCATTCGAGGATCTCATTTTCTTCCTAACAAGCTGCACTTTTCCATTTGTTGCATCAGTGACACCAGAAACTATGCAAATATACGTTTTAGCTTTAGTGTGAAATATAGTAGTTGAAAAACAATTAATACGTTTTTTGTTAATTTTCTCCTTTTTAACTTTTTTTTGTATTTTCTTTATCTTCTTATAATTCAAAGATTTATTATACCACTTATTTAATTTAAGTTGTTTTGCTTTTCTATATTCTCATAGTGGCATATATTTTATGTATTTATTTAATATTATTATTATTGTTTGTTATTTCTGTTATTGTTTATTTTTCAAACTTTATCCATTTAACTATATATTTACATAAAGTAAAACAACACTATTACTATTTCTCCATGTATAAAGGAATGTACCCATCTATGAGAATTGCATAACCATGAATTACAATATTTGTAATTATAATCAAATAAAACATCTTGCAAAAAAGTTACAATTTAGTAAAAAACAATGTATTGGGTCTAACAATGAATACCGTTCTCTATCTCCTCCCTAGCCAATCCATCTTCTCAGCGGTGGCCTACTACATGAAACACCTCGGGGTGAAAACCAGAGCAGTGGACAGTAAGAAGTCCAGAGGAGGTTTCTTCAGGAGTAAACTGGTAAAGGTAAAATAAAATCAGCTCTGTGGAATAATAACATCCCCTTTGTGTCAGTGGAACCAGATTAAGCGGACAATACATGCACTCCCCTGTCCTCATACGGCCCGCTTGGGGAAGCGTTTGTGTTTCTGGAGCCCTGACATTTTACTTATTGTCTTTCCAGAACAAGAGGGATGAATCCTCAAAGGCTAAACCCAGAGGAGTGTTTCCGGGCATCCCCAGCTGGATCGCAGGCAACAGTAAGTATCTGCTTTTGGTGTCTTATTGAAGAAACATCACACAATGAGCTATATTATACTGTTCAGTGGCGAGCCGTCAGGGCCCTCTAGAAAAAAAATATTGTTTTAGTTATATTTTTCATTAGTTTTACCAACATAACTTGATTTAGTTGTATTTAAAATAACATTACCAAAGAAATAAATCCTTCGAATCTGCCTATTGATTTTCTGTTTGAATGTGAAGGGTTAAATGAAAGAAGCTCCTCTCTGCGAGGTGAAGATAGGAGCTGATTGGTGTAAATTCACAGAGGGCCCAGCTATAGTAACTGAACGAGAGAGTAATGTCAAATGACAGTACAATTGACCAATCATATCTTCCCTCTAAATGGGTGGGTTTTATTACCGCGGACTTTATGAAAAGTTCCGCCCGCTGTGAAGATTTTCTTGTTTCCATAGCAACAACAACTTCCTGTCAACAGCGTAAACTCGCCTTCAAAATAAAAGCATGCCAAATTACACCTAAGACATACAACTGCAACGAAAGTAACAAACACAATGCAATATCCTTTTCAATTTCAAAGAACACAAATAGGGTTATTTACAGGTGTTGTTTTGTGTGGTAGAGGGTCGCTTTCATTGATGCGTTTTGCACCCCGGGCCGTTGTTTTGATATTCCGCTGAAGTATACGCTGTGACGTAATAACTCTTCTTTTTTTTCGAGGGAAGGGATGGGAGTCAGAGGGCCTAGGTATAAAAGTCACGGCTCGCCACTGATACTGTTACATTTTTTGTGTGTAATATTTCAAATTGAGTGATATTTAAAAGTATGTATCACTGGCCTTTGAAATAAATATATGTATTATCTTTGAATTTGGATATTGGATGTGAGAACATTGTCCTGACCTTCTTTCCTGTTACAGCTGAAGTCAAACCTAAAACGGAGGCTGAAGGTACTAAACGTTCAGAACTTGTATCTGTAGGATGGTCACATCCCTACTAATCAACCCATCTGCGTCTGCATGTCCCAAATTAAACCTGGGAGTCCTGGGTGGGGTACTGTGTAGATGAGTCTGTGTTTCAGGGTGGTTGTTTGACGAATTAGCTTTCTTGTTATTTTTGTAATCACCAGAAAAACCTCCCGCATGGCGCACGTATCTCGTCTCCAGGGTTGTGGGTGTTTCTCTGAACTAACCCTCTCATTTACCACAGAGGCCTGATTGCACCATACTCATCCTGTTTGTTTGTCTGTCTCACAAAAACCCTTTCTCACTCACTGACGTGCTTTTGGTTCATCATTCCTCTTTTGGTACAACTCTGTTAAACTTGTCGCCCTCCTCCTCTCTCTTCAGCGGAAAAGGAGAAGGTGAATCCGGAGCGTAAGGGTCTGGGTCCCGGCAGAGGGTCCGTGACTGACTCTGCAATGCCTTCAGCCCCCAGCAGGAAGTCTGTTTCCACTGGAAGCCCCTCCTCCCTGCCTGGGCTGGAGGTCAATGACGGGTCAGGCAACAACGTCAGCATCATCAACAACCCTGAGTCTTCTCATGGGGACGGTAAGCCTGCTTTGACTAGACTGTGTTGTATGTGTTGATTTCAGAGAGCCATCTTTTTATAATTAGCTGATCATTTGAGGAACAAGACTAAAGTCAATAATAGGGCTGTATCAAGTCAAAGTCAACTTTATGTCAATCGTTCAGTTTGTTTGAACAGACACAGAGATCCAAATACCGTTTCCCACAATCCCGAATACAAAATCAAATATATATCTTTGAGAAATTCACATTAGTGCAAAACTGTCCAAAGCAGCGTAAAAATCCTATGCTAACATTCTCCCGATAATGCTCACATGTATAACATATGTATAATAATAATAATAACCATGTTCATTATTTTAGCTTGAATTGTTAGCATGCACCTAATGCATCATTTCATTTTGAGTATTCGGTTAGACCGGCTTTCTTAAAATGTTTTAGTTTATTAGTCGCTTACCGTTTATCATAAAAATGAACATTAAAAAAAGTCTATGATTTGCCCGATGGCACACTCAACTGTTTTAATGAATATTATATGTTTCTGCACATAAAGAGTATGTCAGGAATGCATGGTATCATCTTTGAGGTATGGAAATAGGAATTTGTTTGTCATGTAAAAAAATTGAAATGTAAAAAAACAGAAATGTCGAAATACATTTTTTTTTTAAAACCCAAGACAATTACACTTTAAGTGACCAAAAGAATGAAATGAAAACAATGTAGCCTCACAGAAATAGACATATCAGCGTGCTAGAGAAAAAATGTAATACAAAGACAATAAATATATAATAAAACCAAATAAGAACGTTATCCTACTTCATATTTACAAATGCCTTTCATTATTCTACTGAAAAATACATTGACAGTCTCTCAGGATTATGACGAAAAGCCATCATCTTAAATGATACATTACATATTATTTAATTAGATACAAACTTTTTACAAGTAAAAGACAAACAAAAATAAACTAAACACAAACATATTTTCACTTAATAGACGAAAGAACAAACTCTTGTGTTTTCTCGCCTCCTTTTCTAACCTCCCAGGTCTCTCAAGCAATCGCTTAGAGCCTCCATGCCAGTCGGAAGGGGGGGACGTGTCCCCTGTCGGGCTCGGGGGAGGGCTGATAGTCGGGGAGCCCCTCTCCCCCATGGACACTTCCACAGAGGATAATGTGGAGAAAGAAAGGTGAGGAGGGTGGAGATAGCATCCAGGGAGGGGGGTTCTAACTGCAGTGTAGGGTCTCATAACTTAAGAACAGGTTAAAAGATCAGATAATGAGACTGGAAGGTGTAAAGACTGTAAAGAGATATAATACCGAATGGGGGGGGGGG